ACAACTCAGGAATTTACACTGGACATGGTGTCATTAAAAGACGTCTTAGACCATGACATACTACCTATATAGTAAATGCTTTCTCAGGACTCTTATTGCCAGTGACAGCAATAACTATATTGGCTCATATAACCAGCAGGTCCAAAGGCATAACTCACTTCAACCAGAAGTATGTTTGGGGAGGGGTAAAATAATGTCTTCAAGGCTGTCTCTTCTTCCTCCTCATCCTCTTCCTCCTTCCCCTTCCTCTTCTTCCCCACAGAGAGCAAGATAACTGTTAGTAGCCCAGAACTCACAGCTCCTAGTTATAAAGAAGAAAAAAAATCTGTGAGTCGCTCTAGCAACTATATGCCAAGAAGGATGCAGATACGCTAGGGAAACAGGATGCTTACATCTAGGGTCCTGAACACACCTCTCATTTGGTCCCTGTAACCAGCTGGCTGGAAGTGTTCTGCTAGGCTAAGAACACATTGTCCTTTCCTGTGATAACAAATGGGGTAGGAGAAGAGATGGACCTGGGAAAGAAAGAAAGTGGAGCCCAAATCATCTCAAGGATACAAGGAGATGGATTTCTCAGGGGAAGCAAAGGGAAAAGACACTCCTCAGACAGAAACGATAAATGCTCACAACAAACACCTTTCCTGTACCTGTCCAACTGTAAAAGAACCTCAAAGGTCTCTTCATAATAAAAATTTTAAATATGAAGAGTAAATGTGCTTCGCACGGCCCCTGTTGCCAGGGTAACAGACACTGTAAAGCTCTTGCTTCTCGGTCCATGCCACTTCCTCACATACCACGGACAGCACCCACACCTTAGTACTAAGAACGTCCTATGAACGCCAGTGTCTACTCCTCATCAACCCATCCCCTAGGGCCTGGCAGAAGGCCAGGGAACTAGCCGACTAGGGCTCTAACAGTCTTCAGACAAGAACTATATGGTGATAAGGGTAAACAGCCCAGCTCCCTCACAACCTGGCAAGGAAAAACGCATTGATACGCCCTTTACTGTTGCCCGAGTCCCCTGGAGGGATGGAATCCTGTCTGCCAATAGTGCTAAGTTGCTCCATAGCAACAACCCCCACCCCCCGCCCCGCCCCGCTTTCTTTTGCTTCCTTTTCTTCTCTGCCTCACTTCTGTGCCCTCACGCAGGCGTAGCCAGATCACTTTCTACATGAATTATTGCATTTGAATCCTCAATCAGGGCCAGTTCAGGAGCAGCGAAAGTGACAGCCAAGTACTGTGTAAACCACATATATGTGCTCACCACCCCCCATCGCCCGTCAGTCTCACAGCCATAATGCTGTTGTAACAGATGGAGGAGCCAGGTCCTCGATTAAGCTCACATAGCCAGTATCAGCACAGCTAGCTTCAAAGTAAGTTGATTCCAGTCTATGCTTCCTGGCTTTGCTCTGCCTCGTACCACTTTACAGTGTATCTCTGTAGGCGTCTAGGTCCTGGTGATGCTCTTCAAAGCAGTTAAAAGCTGAGACAACCTAAGAGGATGTAAATGAATGAGAAAGAATCTCATCACATTCTGAGGGAAACCTGTGAGCCAAAGAGCATGTGCCTTGCACATAACTATCATTGAAACAATACGTGGCAATTTTTCAGTCTCTGGGAGTCATTGATGTTATTTTTCCCTACCTTTCCTTAAAAAAATAAAATAAAATAAAAAAGGAGCTTTCATTTCTGAGACATATTTTCCCAGGGTAAAATAAATGTTTCTCATTATCTTAAAGCCAGTGGCAGTCCTTCTGGGTTAAGGCAAAGCAATCATCTTTGCCTTAGGGAGGGAGAGGAATTGGACTCGTCAGGGCCCTATGTGTTATGTTAGAGTGAAGCTTTACAGGCTGGAGAGACGGCTCTGCAGTTAAGGGCACTTGTTGCTCCGGCAGAGGACCCGAGTTTGGTTCCTAGAACCCAAGTCAGGCAGAACACGGCTACACTTAAGTCCACACACCTAATACATATACACAAACACACAAATACATAATTTAAAAAAAAAAATCTGTTTGCAAAACTGTGACTTTGGGCCAGACATGGTGGCGCACACCTATCACCCCAGTGTTTGGGAGGCAGGGGCAGGATCTCTGTGAGTTTGAGTCTAGACTAGTCTACAGAGTGATTTCCAAGCCAGCCAATCCTACAGAGTCAGACCCTGTCTTCAAATAAAAACTGTTACTCTAAAATATATTTTATCTCATTTATTGAGGGCTGTTTTAGGACATGTTTGTCTGAGATAGAACACTTAAGCAACTCATCTCCATTTTGTGTGAACATGAGTGTTTATAAAAATCATTTCTTCTTTTCTTTTTTTTCTTTTCTTTTCTTTCCTTTTTTTTTGTTTGTTTGTTTGTTTTTTAGGTTTGGTTTTGGTTTCTCAAGACAGGGTTTCTCTGTGTAGCTCTGGCTGTCCTGGAACTCACTCTGTAGACTAAGATGGCCTCGAACTTAAAAGAATTATTTCTAAACAAGTTGTTAATGTTTGGATATGAAATGTCCTCCCATAGGCTCATGTGTTGGGTCAGCTAACTGGTCTCCTTCTGGTGGCATTGTTTGGGGAAGGTTGTACAAGGGTTTGGACATGGGACCTTGCTGGCAAACATACAACCACAGGGCAGGCCTTATGGGTTCCAGCCTGGTCCAGTCCTAGCCCAAGCCCTCTGTCTCTTCACTCAATAAGACATGGACAAACAGCCTCATGCACCCATGGACACGGCCACAAGTTGCCATGAGCCTCACCATGCCTTCCCCACTGAGATGGACTCCATGAACCTCACCATGCTTTACCCATTGTGATGGACTGCATGAACCTCACCATGCCTTCCCCACTGTGATGGACTGCATGAACCTCACCATGCCTCATCCACTGTGATGGACTGCATGAACCTCACCATGCCTCATCCACTGTGATGGACTGCATGAACCTCACCATGCCTTCCTCACTGTGATGGACTACACCCTCTCAAAACATGAATGAGAACACATCCTTCTTCCTCAGTTGTCTCTCAGAAGATACTTGGTCCCAGTGATGAGAAACATAAACTCCAAACCTTTCCTTAAGCAGAATTATCTGGCTGTGTTTTTTGCTGTGCTATGTTTGGAGGGGTGACGCCATTTGTAAACAGAGTGAACGCATTCAGTACAAATAATTGGCTCCTTAAGTTGAGCATCCTACCAACATGTTGTGACAACTGATTGGCAAGGGAAGAAAATATAAAACACTCTGAAGCTAGAAGGACAGGTTACCTAGTAACCAACAAATGAGTGAGTTTTCTTCACAGAGACTTGTTCTCTTAATTGGATGAGAAGATTTGAAGAACACAGCTGGGAAGAAACAAAGATGGAGGACTGTGGCAATTATCAGCAGACCTGATGTCTGAAATCTTGGCAGCCTCCGCCAAAAGGTCATAATGCGAATGAATCTTTCATTGGTAACAAGAGGCCAGTCAAGCTGCCTACTGAGACACAATTTTGTGCTCTTTTCAAACACATGAAAAATAAAAATGAATTGTGGAAAGAAGCATATTAAAAAGTACAGGGAGGGATGGAGAGAAGCTTCAGCAGTTAGAGGCATCAGCTGCTCTCCCAGAGGACCTGGGTTTGAATCTCGGCATCTACATGGTGGCTCATATCCACCTGTAACTCCAGTTCCAGGGGACCCAATATCATCCCCCTTCTGGCCTCTGCAGGTACTGCACATATGTGGTGCACAGACATGGACATAAAATTAAAATACATCTTTTTTTAAAGTGCAGTGAAAACACCATGGTTTAACAATGTGTGGTGGCCACAAGACAGAGGCCCCAAACATCATGAGCTAGAAGCCACTTTAGAGAAACCTTGTCTCAAAACAAACAAACAATAGCAACAGAGTGCTTGCTTATCTAGAAGACATAAGACCCAGAAGTGTAATACTCAATACCCAACACCACAAAAATACATAAAACCCTATGCAGTTTAAGAGCTCATGAAAACAATCAGGGACAAGATTCTGCTTAAGTTCGGGGATCAGTGTTCTATTGCTTAAGAGAATTCAGAATGATCACCTGGGGTCAGTGGATCTTATTATCACTCTGTCTTGAATACCTGCATTCCCACTAGACACATACTACTTCGCAGAGAATTACAGACATCCCTACTCTCTCTTATTTTAAACAATAAAATTAAGAAAAATCAAATTATAGGTTGACAATGATGAAAGCTATTTTTATCCACTGGACTTTTAGATAATAGCATAAGCTTTCCCTGCCCTTGAATAAGAACTTCTTGTTCTGCCTTTAACTATAACTGAAACAACCCCACCCCAGAGTCATTTCTTGGAGTGTTTGTGCCTTGTAATCCCTGGATAAGATTTGTGGGTTAATATCGCTTGCACATGGCTCATTTTTCTCACATGGATGGAACTTAAAACCTTTCCTAAAGCCCCCCCTAGTGACAAGCAGAGAATTAATCCATTTCAGATCAATACTGACACACTTTAAACTTACATCTTCTCTTAGCTTTTAAATGAATCACATTGATTGAGAAATGGCACACACACAAAAAAAAAAAAAAAAACTGTAGCTCAGATTCTCAAGCATTCATCAGCCACCAGAAGGTAAAGGACTTTGTATAGAACACATAAACTGCTCACACACCTTTGAATTCTGTGTGTTTTTACTTGGTCCTGGTGGATAACTCAAAAATATCCCTTTTTTTTCTTTTTTTGTCCTTTAGGAACTTCAGGATTAAGGTATGTTAGTAGAGGGGCTGGAGAGATGGCTCAGTGGCTAAGAGCACTGGCTGCTCTTCCGGAGGACCTGGGTTCAAGTCCCAGCACCCACATGGCAGTTCACAACCATCTGCAACTCCAGTCCCTGGAGATCTGATGCATTCTGGTCTCCATGGGCACCAGACATGCACATCGTGCACAGACAGACAGGCAAAATACCCACACACATGAAAAAACTATAAAACCAAACAACAAAAAGTGTACATTCATGGGCAGGAGAGAAGGCTCGGCAGGCAAACTCACTTGCTACCAAACCTGATGCCCCAGACAGTGGAAAGAGAAAACTGCTCCTGTAACTCTGACACACATGCCATGATATGTGTGCGCCAACATACATACATGCATACACATGCATAAAGAAATACAATGTAATTTAAAATATAAAATTATTATAACAATAATATTTTATAATAACCCAATAAAAATAAAGGTAAAGCCTTTTGTCTCTTGTGTCTTTTTCTCCATTCATTTGATAATTTTCACTGATGCTTCTAGGCATGTCCAAAGAGGAAAGCACCATCTCCAGGAGGCTTCTGTACTGTGAAACTAAGAGCCATCTACAAAATAGAAATTAATTGTACAATAATAAAGCATTTAAAATAGAACAAACATAAACTACATGTTTTATTAGGTTGGGTGGTACAGACTGTTTACACATAATTTATTTTATGTATCTCATCATCCCAAAGGCTTAGAAATCATTCAATAAGAGATATATAATTAAACCATTAAAAA